AATGTTTATGTCTCGTCGCTCCGGCCGGACGGCATCACAATATGGCAAGGGGCGTAACATTTCCTTCACACGCTTGAGGTATTCGGCCAATCACAACACACTGGATAGCTGGCCAATCAGAGCACACCTCGCTTTTCAGACCGATGAGCTTTGTAAAAATCGACGCGTTTCAGAAAGGCGGGGCATAGAGGAGAAACAATAGTGTACAGTATGTGGAAAATAATGTGTTTTTTGAACCTTAAAGCAAATACACAAAATAATGTTCTTTTTAGCAACATCATATGACCCCTTTAAATGCAAGTTGGTTTTTAAAAAGATCTTCAGAAATTTGACCTTTTCATGTTTTAATTTTTAACCACATTTTTCATTTCTTTAACAGAGAAACCTATTTCTAAGATTATTTCTGCAGAATCAAATGCTGTTTGTGTTACTTGGCTCATATGTTCACACATATAAGCACTCTGAAAAGAAAAAATGCCTGCTGCATTTAATGCTAGTTGTTTTAATAGGGTTCAAAATACAGCCCATTTGTTCTTAACAAGTGGTCTTTGAAAAGAGGTGCTTTATCTTAAAAAAAAAAAAGAAAGATAAACCTCAGGAGATCAAAACATTTTCTATTCTCTGACGTTTGCCAGTTTTTGGGTTTTGTCTAATTAGTTTCAATTTGAGTAATTTTTCAAATACATTTTTAAAACATAATTCTTACAACAAAAAAAGTGATTTGTGTCTTTAAAAAATGTTTTAAAAGTATACAGCTTTTGTGGAAATTGAAACGCATTTCATTTACAATGCGTCTAATGTAGTAAATAGCAGTTAAACTGGTTTGAGTTTGCGCATCTGAATAAGGAAATGTCAGATTGAAGCCACAGACCCGAATTCAGGTGTCACTAATCAGCTTCCCCCTCAGTATTTTCATAACTAGGACAAATATGTTATATATTTTTTTTAAACCAGCTGAACCACATCCAGCTCCTTTTTGTGACTTCCGTAACCGGCTTAGTGTCTTGACTGAATGAAGATATGCGCCTTTGAACGTCTGACTGAGATGGATAATGGTGTATTAAAGTTAGTGAACATACATACATTCACATATATATATATATATATATATAAATAATATTAGGAAGGAATACGAGGAAACAACATTTTTCAGAATAGTGAAGCCGTGTGTTCCATCAGCGCTGTCATGAAGTACTTTTCCAGAGTGCTTAGTCACATGACAAGTACAGCTCATCTGATTCGCTTAAAAAAAACAGCGCCTCCTCGATGTAATGTGCAGCAGCTGCCACCTGGAGGACACCTGTAGAATAACACCAATGACGAGCAGCTGGAGCAGATGTTTTGAATGACATTTCTATTAAAACTAGTAAGATGATCCTAGACTAAATGAAAAAAGGATGCGAGATTGCAAACATGGATAAGGCCGATTCTTTCATCGAGTCTTTTATTCACAAATGGCATCAACTCATTCTCACAAACAGCATATTTGCCTTTCTCTTCCTCTTTTTTTTTTTTTAATATTTTTTAATTTTACAATTTATGGAATAAATTTTAACTTGAAAATGAAACGGAAAATATAGTTTTTGCATTTCAGGATGAAAGGCTTCCTCTTCTCAACTTCAAATGCATTGTTGTTAATAAATACCTTCCCCTAAGCTTCAGAGCAGAATAATATGGATAGGTTATGGAGAAGAGGGGAAAAACCGATCAAATTTTCCTTCTAATTATCTTACAAAAACAGATGAAGCAAAAGCAATACGTAAGGTTGAAAAGCAGAAAGGCAGAAAACAAACAAAGAGGGAAAAGTTTAAATGGCAGCCCAGACGAACTGAGGAAAAGAAAACCTACTGGATGTTGCAGGAAGCGCCCTTTTCAACGTAAAAAAAAAGAAAAGTGAATATTCACACTAAAAATACGCACTCTCCACCTGCATGCTACTCAGTAGTGGATCCACATTAAGGTGAACTAAGACAAAGTGCATTAAGGCTAGTAATGCAGCATTTTATAAACCTACAACTAATTAAATTCACGCTTTGTCCTGGCAGACGGTTGTTTAGGAAGGGGGGACATTTTTTTTATTTCTAATTGGCCCAATAAGCATGTTTTTCCGCAAACTTGTGCGCAGAGATGCCAAACAACAGCGCCCCCTCTGGACAAAACACATGCGCAACATAAGAAATAAAAGCGGATTTTTCTTCATTTGAATGTAGAATTATTGCATAAAATCTTACAACCAATAGAAAAACTAAACAAAAACATTCAAAATGATGTAACAAACAATTATTTATATTCAAAATCACCACAAGAGTTAAACATTACTAATAATCGAGTCCTTTGCAATGTCTGCCTTAGAAAAAAACTCTGAGCCACAAAGAGTCCACTGCATTCTGTCACATAGAAAACCGGGTTCGTCAGATAACAGTTAAAACCAAGAGAGCATTTTAGGGGCTGTCGCACTGTAGATGGCTCCACATTCCTCAGATTTTCCCATATCTTTTATTTTTAAATTGTTTTTTAATCAAAAGTTAATTTATTACAGGCTCTGACAAAATGAAAAATCTCTTTGGTGCTCCAAGGTTCACTGAGCTTCATGAAATTCATATTTGTTGGTTGTTTTAGCATTCGGTTGGATTATATTAAACTGTACCACAAACAGTGCGTGCCGTTTGAGACACCGGCAGTGCTCGCTTCACCAGCACATTCAAGTACAAAAGAAAAAAAAAAGAAGAAAAGAAAAAAAAGAGAACACAAGAACAAAACTAAGTCCAGAGATGTCCGATTAAAACCGCTGTGCAGATCCCCATCCTCGAACCCATCATGGAACCTCCGTGTCATCATGGCAATCATGGGACCAAAAGCCTCCAATCAAATGTTCTCAGGTGGGTGGCGCCAGACAACATGTTTGTTCTTTTTGATTGGTGGATTATTACTAGTTGCATTTGTCCTTGTCTTTTGTTTTCCTCTTTTTCCATTCTCAACGTTTTCATTCAATAGCTAAACAGACTTCTTGTTCAGTTTCTTGCCTTTTTTCAGAACCAATTTGTTTTTGATGTATCCCCTCTTCCTCTTGGCTGTCTGTGAACCAAAGGAAATAACACATCAGAATAGTCAACATTCATAATGAAAATTTACCATTGGATACGATAGTACAACGAGACTGTTATAATGTAGATTGATGTTAAATAATCTAATAAAATGAAGGAATGTATTTTAACTACTTATAGTATTTACAGTTTGTAGTTGTCATTAGGCTACTACTGTCATTCATAAACAGGGCTCGCAAAATCGCTAGCCCAACGTTCCAGAGCTTTTGTTTTCTTTGTTTTCTTCTCTGTCGGTTTACCAAAATGTATCACCGCCCTGCCCGATGGGCTGTGTCATAGTAATATCAAATTCCTTCCTGGATTTGCCTTGATTTGAACCGTGAACTGGAACGTAAGTTGATCACTTGCACGTGTTTCTAAGTCATGCCGATTTAAACATTCAAGTGCCATGAAGAGGCTAAAGACAATTCAATTCGGCACACGTTTCAGACAGCGCACAAACACAGAATTGATTCCTCTTTCACATATCCTTGCGCTCGAATGGACACATGCCCACAAAATTCTCTCAACATAACCATCTTGGCAAGTATTCTCATATGTCTAAAGCAAACGTAAACAGTGGAAAAAGAAATCGCATGTGCATCATTATATTGGATCCTTGCATTTGGTCTTAAAGGGCCAGCAGCTTATAAATACCTGCTGTTCCATAAGCGCCACCTGCTGTCAGAGAGTGACATTTGCATCTCATTCAGCCCGTCTGATGCTTTTGTTTCATTCAGATTTTTTACATAGTATGGTTTCACAAAGTCAGACCATTCCGTTCAAATTTCACCTTTGTTAGGGTCGTGATTAAAATGCAGTGGTTGCCTCTGATTTTTAATGGAAAGAGCACAGGTATGGAGTCAAAATAATGCCACATATATATGCAAAATAATAAAGTTTTGCAAAAGAAAATAAAAGTATTGAGAAAAAATAAATGTGTTTTTGCAAACAAAAATAAAGAATTGCAAAATATAAATGAAACGGCACAAAAGCAATGATTTTGCAATACATATTTTCCATGGCCATATCTACTAATTTATTTGCAACGCTGCTTTTATTTTGCGTTTCAGTCAAGTTTGAGCTTGCGATACGTGGCATTATTTTGACTCCATACACAGGCAAAGAGATTTCTTTTATTTGTATTTATTAGATTTGGGATTTGCCTTAATTTCAAGCTAGTTTTATTATTTGACATTTTTCAATTTCACAAAGAAATGTGCAGCATTTTGTCTGAGAAATAATAAAAGGACACATTTTCATTAACTTGTCTTAAATCTCATTTTGTGTAAAATGCCTTACACTATACAAAGTAATATTTTTAATAACACTGTAATAATAAAGATTCATATGATAAAAAATTATTTACAATTATATAAATAAACACTTTTTAAACCACATTTATTATCATATGAATATTTATTATTATTATAAACACAGTATTATTAAAAAGGCCACATGGACATGGTAGCCCTCCAACATGAATTTTGTTCTTTTAATGTTAAAATGAATGATCAATTAATCATTGATAATTTTTTAACATTCCTGAAAATTGACATTTTAACTTGCTATGGTGGTTACTATGGTCTTAATACAAACCCTGCTATTAAGCTACAACTTTTTACAAGAACCATAACAATGCTGTTCTAATGGAATAGAGAGGGAAGAACCTTTTTTGAGGTGTACTTCTGCTTGGCTGCGATGTTGCGGAGCTTGTGGTCCAGAGCCTGTCGGTTCTCCTGCTTCTTCACCCTGTAGATGCGCACCAGCCAGTGCTCGGAGGTGAACGCCTCCTCCAGGTGCTTCAGACGGATGTCCTTGTTGCCAATCTCTGCATTTCGTGTCCGGTCAAATCCAGGTGGTGTGCGGAAGTCCAGCTGTGGAGGAGGTGTTTGGCATTAAGCAAGCAGCAAGGCTTTATCTATATGTGCATTAATACAATATCAGAGTTGTAAAATGGTGACAGCTCAAGGATCAGCTCTTGTCTTCAACCAGTGTCACAACACAATTACGAGACTCTTGTATATGGACCTAATTAATTACGCGAAGAAACACTCACTTGCATTTCGCCAAAGCGGTAGTAAGACATCTTGTACATCAGGCAGTTGAGCAGGGTTGGAGAGCCGGCCTTATCCACTCGAAACTCCCCCTGCGGTGTGAAGTAATCGCTTTCCTACGAAAGAACAAAAAGATGGCAGTTTGAGGACTCGCTTCTGACATATGGAATAATAGAACACATCATCACTGCTATGAAATGATCCCTGTTAATTAAAAGCAAAGTTTGGGGAAAAAAAATAAATAAATCACCAAAACAAAAGCATGTAAATTATGTATAATAACAGGAATATTTCTCATGTGGGTGACCTGAAGCCAAACAACAGTAACTGTCCAAGACAGTGAATGTTATATGAAGCGCTGAATTAATTGCTGTAGCGGCGGTGCATTAAAAATTATTCATTTTGGACACACAATGTCTCAGAGAGTGTTCATGTGACAGTCTAACAGCATGCAAAATCACAGAGCGCCATCAGCACACTAAAATCCTGTCAGAGAACTTCATTCCCTCTATAGGACTGCCACAATTTTTATTTATTTATTTTTTTTGTTTAATACCAGGTAAAAAAAAAAATGCCCAAACCCTCCTCTGGGCGGTCCTGTTCTGACACATGCTTTCGGACTTTGCCGGCCTGCAAATGCACAAGGACCAACCAATTAGATCAGACTGAATACAGATGAGATACAAACAAGCCATCCCCCAAATCACAATTCTGATACCATGCATGTGTTACAGTACGGCAGGCTTAAAACGCAACGTTTTATCCACCAAAGGATCCTTAGCCTGACCTTTGTCCTTTCGCTGACCTTATCATAGAGATTCCCCTGATTCCTCTTGTCGTCCTCATCACTGCTGTCCTCAGCCGGCGGGTTCTCACGCTTCATGTCATCACCCAGGTAGTGCTCAAACACACTGGAGAAGGCGATAGCTGAGAGCATGCACACCACTGGGGTGAGCGTCAGCATCAGACGCACCATCACACCAGCAAAGTACACCGCGCTGATGGCGTACAGAGCCACTAGAGGGCAACAGGGAAAACATCACTTATGATTCCAGCAGACAATGTGGCACTGCAGTACAGAATGAACGGTAATGAACTGCAGTGTAGTGTTTATAGTTCTGTACTGGATAATGACTCCAGAGAGAAATAAAAAAAAAAAACACAGAAGGGGGCCTTTAAACATGTAGCAACATGTTGCCGTTCACGTTCCCTTGTTTGTTCCGCTGAAAGACTCCAGAAACTCCATGATAGCCATAAAAAAAAAACTCTTCAGGAGACTGGGACTAATTCAATGCATTCTGTTCTCAACAAGTGAAAATACTCATAGCAGACATCAAAACAGCAGTGAGTGTTCTCAGGCATAAACAGGACATATTCACAACAACTTAAAATTGTTCAGAATAAACAGCCTGCTGGCAGAAATAAGCTCAAAGATGTTTAGTGCCACTTCTAGAGGATCAAAATTAAGATTTTAAAGAAAAGCAAGGGACATTTCAACAATATACCCTGAGAACATTTCATATATTTTGAATTCAATGGATGAATATTTTTGGATGAATATTATGGATGAATACTTTTTATAAACTAAGGCTTAAAATGATTCCAAAGTAACATGTAAGAAAGACACCAGCTTAATTAACTAATTTTATTTTCTGGGCATTTTTGGGCATTCAAGTCACACCAATGTTTAAATGTCATTACATTAGAGATGGAAACATAAAATCAAACATCATCTGCAAACAAATAATGCTAAATTTTTTATCAGGACTTCACATTTCTAAGCCATTTTTGTAATGACTTTAAATAATGAATTGAACTGAATGCAGACACATTGTCTGGTAATTTCAAGGATGTTAGACATGCTCACCAAAGACTCGCTCATCGTTGATGTTCTTGATGCAGAACCAGAGGCCTGCTGGGAAGGTGCAGACCAGGATGTGCAGGTCAAAGAAGAAGGAGACCCAGGTGGTGGGCTGGTGCTCTGACACAGAGGCGATGATGGGGATGTGGATCTTCGCATATCTGAGCATAATAGGCAAATGGGCTGTGTTAACTTGCTGTGTAAAACTAACTAGCATTAAATTACCGCATTAACTACTGGCAAGCTACACTAACAACTACAGTCTAATACAATGCCTATAGCTATTTGGCTAGTACTTAACATGGAAAAGCAAAAACTGCACGGTTGCTGAACAGGGGGTTGTTTGTTGAGGAGTTGTGCTGCTGTTCGCCCTCTCAATTTTGCTGCATTTCTGTGCTCAGTTTTGGCGACTATCAGTGTTGTGATCATTATCTGGTGACCTGACCTTGTATCTGTGCGGAGTGCGCACAGCGAGAGCTCGACAGGACTGTGGGTCTCCCTGCAGAGCTGCTGCATTGAGGGAGTTACACAATTATGAATTTATGATGGGCGACGTATCACTGAGGCCAAAGAACATGAAGAAGCTGGCAAAAAGTCAAGGGTTTATGGCTGAGAGACGTACAAACACTGCTGTACCTGTAGGGCTGCCACAAAAATTTAATCAATTGAAATTACGATACAAGGCCTATCAGTAACAACAACATGTCCTGTTGAGTGTGTCTGATCCACAGCTGCATGATTTCTTTCACGTCTGTTTATGGTGGTGCTAGGGCTGCACGATTAATGGAAAAAAAAAAATCACAATCTCGATTCATACATAAATGTGATCTCATGTCTAAATGATGGCGATGCACTTGCATGTTTTTCCTTGCATTCACATGTTGGAGAACTGAGCGTGTGCGATTAACTACATCTGTCCTTCTCCTTCACCAAGTCATATATAAGTGAAAAAAATATCAGTTGTCAGAAGATGAAAGCGATATATTTGTCGTAGTATCTTTCAACGTTTAAGGGGATTTCCTGCATCAGTGCTGTTCAGTGCATTGAATCAGTGCCATAGATCTCTATGAAGTGAAATATCAGCTTCAGGGTTACTAAGGTGATGTGTTGCTGGTTGCTCAAAGTTAAATTAATTACTATTTTAGGGCCGTTAAGCCATTTTAAATGTTTTTTTTTGCATTGTGACAAGTTTCAGGACAACTAAGCACATTTCTTCTCCAATATCTCATTTTCAAAAATTAAAAATGCAAAATAAAAAAATTAAATTAAATAATTATTAATTCATTAAATTATATACAATTTACACACTTTGTAGTATCTGTTGCGCTGTTATGCAATAATTTATGCTAAACTACATTCCCATTTAATAATAATAAAACACTATTACAATAATGAGAATCATCAGTGAAAAAAAAAAAAAAAAAGGTAAAAAATGACCAAAAAAATCTATTTTACCATTTTGGGGTGAAATATGATCCATTTTATATGAAATGTGTGTATGATGTTTAACTCACATTTTAAATTATATAATACTAAACAACAGATTTTTCTCACAGAATTACATTGGTTTAAGTTTGCTACAATGTGACAGTCAACTAAAACGTTTTGTTTTTGTAAAATAATATTATTTAAGTAAAAGTGAATAAAATGATTGACACTGACAAAAAAATTACATTATTATAGCTAATATTAGTTTAAAAAAAAAATCTAAATAAATATTGTGAGTTTCAACTAAAGTCAATTAAATAAAAAAATTAAGAAAAGTGTGGTGTATTTATTTTATGACTGTGGAGTGATATATGACCGAGACATTTCTTGACTGGCTCTGTGAGATTTCAATTCTATTAATGAGTGATTACAATATCAAAGAATAACAATTACAATTTGTCATAATAGCACAGCACTACTTGTTTGTGCACTAGAAGTGGGGTTTCATTGGCGTGAATATCAACTGAAGGCAGCTATTCAGACATAATTCAAGCCAATCCAAAAGACTGCTTACAGACATAAATCATGCTACATGCTTGAGCCTGCAACAAAATCAGGTCTGTTGTTAAGCCATTTAACGTGGTGTGCTAATGAGCTATTAGCGACTTACTCATACGACCGAACACCAAACAAACAACAACAAAAAAACTATATGCAATGTAAACTGTACGGCATACTTACCCTGTGTCCCAGAGAGAGTAAAAACGCCCACTCCAAGGAGCAATGTACCCTGAAAGCACATTAACACAACAGAGTGATTAAACGCAAATGGGCACCACCTGACCATTACTGACTCAAGAGCACTTTCAAGCAGCTTCTGAGACGCTGACGAGCTTGGACTATGTCCAGTGAACCTTAATACCACACATATAGCCGGCAATGTTTTCAATTAATCTACACTACAAGACTGTGCTCAGTTTGAAAAGCAGTGTGGCGAGCAGAGGAGAGTTCTTAATGAGATCTCAGAGGCCTGCTACAGACGTGGCCCTGCAGCAGAAAGATTAATGAAAGCCCCGGGTGCGACGGGAATACAAGCAAATCACCCTGACTCCATATATACTGGCAGAGGTGCGGTGTTAAGAGGCTGAGGTCATAGAGCCACGCTGTATTCAGGTGAGAAGGCAGAGAATTGGATGTGATGGTGTGGATGTGTTTTTCCTTTCTTACTGAAAGATGTTTGGTTTGGATGATTTAGTCAAGGGCAAAATATAATTTAAGAATGTGCTCTTCGAATGTCAAAACGTATATATATATATATATATAAAATAATCAGCGTTGTGTCCTCTACGTGACAAGTAAACAGCAATGAAGCAATGAAGCTTTTTAATATTACGCTGAGAAAAAAAACTGCTTTTTATTCTGCAAATCAGTCACGCAGGGTAACAATTTATTATGGTGCAATCTATTTACTGACAATCTTGTAAAACAGTGCAGCATTAAAAAAAAAAAAATCTTCCAGTGACATTTGCGACCTTTCAATACAGAGTGGGGTAAGAAATGTCAGTGGCTAAAGTTGTGACACACCCTTAAACTAACAAACAGGGCATCATTTTTAGCATGTAACCATATATTTGATATATATGATGGACATGAGACAAGTGATTTTGTTATGCTACAAACGTTTATGCATGTTAAAGTTAAACTAAGGTGGATAAGATTTCTACATGGCAGGTAAATGAAAACTCAAAACGTTTGTGGCGAGTCATATTTTGTTTGTTTTTAAAAAAGTTACTTTTATTCAACAAGGATGCATTAATTTATCAAAAGTGACTAAAGACATTTATAACGTTACAAAAATATTCTATTTCAAATAAATGTTCTTTTTTTTTTTTAATGTTGCATTCATCAATAAATCCTTTAAAAAAAATTATGGTTGACAAAAAAACAACCATTTTTAAGATTGATAAGAACCGTTTCTTGAGCACCACATCAACATATTAGAATGACTGACACTGAAGACTAGAGTAAAGGCTGCTAAAAATTTAGCTCTGTCATTGCAGGAATAAATTACATTAAGCATGTAGTAAAATAGAAAACTCTTAATTTAAACCGTAATTATGATCCAGCATATGTGGGGCAAGCTGTCTTTATTCTTTTTTTAAATTCAAAATTTTATGTTTGCATGCTATAGATGCCTTCTTGTAATTTCAGACAATGGCAAACATGAGATATAATAAATAAATAATATTCATTTTCTCACTTGTCCTTGTCTAGAAGACAACTTTAATAAAAAGTGGAAAAGTTTATCACACTCTGACTAACTGAGGTTCAATCAAAGGCTTATTTAAACCAAGTCGGATTTTATTGGTAAAAAAAAAAACATTTCACATTTGTGGTCGAAGTTCGGTTGAAAGTCTGGTCAAGCAAACCAAGTTTTAATTCAGAAATTGTTTCAAATTAAATGTATTTGTTTAATCGTTGTCTTTTTGCACTCACCTGTGTAAGTCAGGTAAATAACAGTAAGGAAAACCACCCCCGCAGCCAGAGAAACGCCCAGAAAGAACAATGTTTGGAACTCCTGCCTGGTCAGTCTGTCCTTCAGATACTGCAGAAAGGCATAAGCCTGAAGCAGTGCAAACACACCTGCAAACACACAAATGCACCATTAACCCACATACTCCGCTTTTTCAGATACTTTCCCAACGGTCATGAATTCCTGGTGCTAATCTAAAGTCATGTAAATCACCGCTCTCATGGCCCGAGTTTATGGATTGGAGTTGAGAGAGATGATCTGAGATCAGTGTAAAAGAGCAACAGTTGAAGAATAGAGGCAAACCAGTCTTACCTGCAGCAGCCATGTGCTCACTCGTCCTGATGGGCTGGAAGCCAACAAAAGGGATCTGCATGGACAGCACCAAGCCCACTATATAAAAGGTGCTGTAGGCTGAGATAAAGAGAAACAGAAAAAGAAATTGAGATTTATCTGAAGCAAAGATGCTTACCAGAACTATCAAACTTAGTGTCCCTAGATGGTCACTGTGATAGCATCTCTAAAAAAAAAAAAAAGCTCTTATGTGAGCACTTAAAGGGGTGGTTTACCCAAAATAACAATGTCAATATTGTCTCACGGCAATTACGTTCAACCCCGTATGACTTCAGTGGAACATAAAAGGAGTAATTCTGAAGAAAATGTTTCCATGGAACTACAATGAATGGTTAGACTGTCACACAAAAAAGTACACAAAAACACCATAAAAGCATCCTGAAAGTGGTCTCTGACTTGTGCACTTTATTTCCAAATTTTCTAAAGACTTGAAAACGTAGTGACTTAAATCTTGGCCTGTTCTGCACATAAAGCTATCCTATGGCTTCAGCAGACTAATATAGAGCATTAATCAGCTTTATTGTGCTTTTATTATTTGTTTGAATGCTTTAGTCCTCATTCACTGTAACTGCATGGAAAAGAGCGACCAGCACAATTCTTCAAAATATTTTTTTTTGCGTGTTCCACAGAAACAAGTCATGCAGGTCTGGAACAACAATGTTGAGTAAATCAGTAAATGTATTTTCATTTTTGAGAAAATTATCCCTTATCCCTGTTATGAACTGCTTATGAACCTCTGTTGTAAGTCACTTACAATGAAAAAAATAAATAATCTGCTAATGGACAAATGTAAATGTATCATTCAAAAGAGTAAGAAAAAGTTTTTTCCCCTTTCTTTTGAAAAGAAATTCATATTTTTTATTCAGCAAGGGTGCATTAAATTGGTCCAAGGAGACAGTAAAAGATATTTATAGTGTTACAAAAGATTTCCATTTAAATAAATGCAGTTTTAAACTTACTATTCATAAAAGAATCATGAAAAAAGTTACCATGGTTTCCTCATTAATATTTCCACTGTTCTGTACCACTTTGCTCTCCTGCTGCAAATGCTTCAAAATCTGTATTGAGGCACTCTTAATATTGTTAGTTCCCTATGATTAATTGCCTGTGCATTTCTCACCATTTGCAATTTGCTGTGGATAAAAGAGTCTGCTAAGTAAATGAATGAAAAGGGTCTCTTTAAAGCACCACCGCAATTTGCAAATCATGACTTGTTATCTGACATGAAGCTATTGAGTTTACTCCCGTTTCGTTCTGGATTTACGTTTGTCCAATGGCAGCAGTGGTATGTGGGTCTGCCTCAAGCAGAATGGGGTTGTGAAGGGAGACAAGGGGCCTCGAATGTCCCTGAATGCAGTCTGGGCTCCAGTCCCAGCAATACATGAGCAGTTGAGTAAAAGAGTCGAACACCACAAGACAAAAAATGTACTCGAAGATGTACAGTATCTTATTTTGGATCAAGAAACACCCACTTAGAAAGAAAGAGGTTGTATAACACAACAAATAAGCTATTTGTATATGTATAGTGCACAATATACACATTTTCCTCTTTTTCTAAACCAGATATCACCTAGTTTCCTACCTGTCTTTTCTTATTAGCCAAAAATGACAGAAACTGCACAATAAAGCAAAATGGAGAGAAAACACTGACACGCCAGTGACGGAGAGCAGTCATTCCTAGAAGATAAGACAACCGTAACAGTCTGTCACCTGTGCGATACTTGACTGACAGATCCGTGAAGTGGACCCCTACCTGAGAGACAGCCGTTGACAGCCTGTCAGAAGAGAGGTCTAAAACACACTGGTGCATGTGTGTGTACATGAGACGGCGATACAGCTGCACAGTAGAGGAAACCGAAGCCGCTTGTGACAGAACTGTATGAGCTGTCAGCCTTTGAGAAGCATCAATTAAGGGCCAAGCCGGACCATCTTCACACTAAAATGGGACAATACACACCTAGCCCTCCAGACACAACACGCAAAACATTTCCTCATCCGTGGACAGCTGACGGACCGTTTTGTGAAAGGAACTCTTAAAAGGAGTTGGAAAAGAGCAGCGATTAAAAGAGTAAAAAAGGGTTGATTTAACCGGTGACGAAATGTCCAAGGTCTGGAGTCACAAAAGTGGCTTTCTGAACATCTAGTTCTGGTACTTCCCAAGAGTGACTACCTGGAAGAGGAACTACACACTTAAAGAGAACTTTTACTTTTGCATTGGCACCTACAGTGGAAACCTGTGGTGACGCAATCTAGTTGTGTCATTTCTGTGCACCACACAATAGCAGCAACAACAAAGGACAACAATGGAAGACACCAGGATTGGAGCTGTGCTTTTGTTACTCTTTGGATACTTTGTTGGTTTAATGTTGTTAACATGAGGGCTGGAAATGCGAATCTGAGACAATAGAAAGAACAAAAGAATATTTTGACAACTCCAAATCTCTCTGGATGTCGTCAATGCGAGTTTCAGGAACTTCTGACAAGTTGGACTACTTCTGAAGTTCCTGAAATGTGTATTACTTCCTGCAGTAGGAAAGCGGCTAAATTCTCACAGATCCATAGTATCTGGCTAAAATCTGGTCTACTTCACAGCTTATTCTCGCCATGAATCCCCTAATTAGACAGGAAGAGTTTATTAGACAGCACGTAAAAACAAAAACTGAGAATGGGTGCATTACATAACCTTGAGGGACAGGTTTATCTTAAATGAAAGACCACCATGATATTAGGGATGCTCATTTCAGTTATTTTTCCTAACCGACAACCGACGCTCGTTAACCGATTGTTAACCGGTAACCGACAAGATTATTTAAAATTAGAATTGAATTAAATTAGAAAGGATAAATGTCTGTGACCCGTTAAAAAATACTAACATTTGTTTCCCGGGGATTCATTTTACATGCGCAAAAAGCAGCAAACAACAGAACCATCATATCATATCACGCACCTGCAGCGTTTCTGCCAGTGGAGAAAAACAAAATAGCAGAAAGCGGCATACTATTTTTCTTTAGGCTTATTTTACAAAAGCACAAAGATTGGTTTTTATTGTGAATGTACACAAATAAAGGCAAACCTTTTATAATTCCGATTATCTTTATGACTAAAAGGAGTAGTTTCTTCCACTGTTAGAAGGGAAAAATTGAAGTGATTGCGCCGGCGCAGCATGTGCGCACAAAGTTAAGCTTTGCTACCTTGACAATGCAGCCTGTTCATTATCATAATAAAATACAGTCAGTCAAACATATGGAAAAAAAACTATGTAGTAAAAAAAAAAAATGTAGTAAAAAATATGTAGTAAAATCTGTTAAGCCGTGATGTAAAACATTTTGTTTTACGTGGATATTGGAACGCCAGTGAAGTA